AGCAGTGTGGCAATGGCCTGATATAGTAAATAACCCAATTCTTATGTTTTAGGTTTTTTTTTTTTTTTTTTTTTTTTTGCTAAAAATTTCTATTAACAACCTTAATTTTAAGCACATGTTATGAATTTACATTTAGTCCCCTATGTCTTCTGGTATTCTCCTTTTTTTTTACTAAGTGGCACTAACTCTGAATGGCTACACCAATGAGTTTTCATATATTCTTAGAGACATCTTTCAAACCTACAATATCCTTTCATGAAAAAAGTCTCTGAGATAATGGATCTGGACACTTCACTATTTGCTCCATTAAGCTTATAGTCCTTGATGATTAACCTATTAGAGGTAACGTAATGAGTCAGATTAATATGCTCAATATTTAAGACATTAAAGTTATATATTTGTACCTCACAATAAGTCTTTTGCAGAATATGCCAAGAAAATGTAACTCTTCTCCTGTATTACACCATTAGTTCTATTGAAAGATAAATACTGAAATTGTGATAATTTCAAATTCAGCACATTATTACAGATAAAATAAATGTTAACTGAATTAGATCAAAAGAAACACTGAACTCTGGCTTGTTGAATTTAAACTTTAGCTTTGTTAGTAAACACTTCCTCTTCCTTTAAAAATCACTTCAAACTACAGAGAAGTGACTGTGGGGCTCCTTTAGAACAATCAGCAAATTTCATGTATAAGTACTCATAAATACATATACATTCATTGAAAAATAGTATTTTATTTTTAAATATATATATATAAAATATACATATTCATAGGAAAATAGAATAAAGGTAGCAAGGAAGTACACCAAATTGTTAATAATAGTCATTTCTTGGAGACAAGATTTGAAGTGATTTTAATATTTTATTCATATGTTTCTATATTTTCCAAATTCTATACTGGATACAATTAGATATCAGATAGTTTTCTAAAAGCAGAGATGTTGGTGGAGTCAGGGAAAATGTTTAACAAGAACAGTTCACAACTTTTTGGTGTTTATTAATTCCAGAGGTAACACTGAATTAAGTAGTTAAACATAGCTGATTCAAAACCATATTTGTGTAACTTATCTATGTGAATTTCCAATTAAGCCTGTAAACTTAGGCAATTTAAGTGCCCTTGGTAAGACCTTATCAAATAGGATAAATTTGGTGGTAGCATGAGTCGGGGAGTGGTAGCTGGGAGAGTTGGCTTCCGCAACATTCCTAGACTCTGGTTGGTCCAGCTGGGTACACAGTGATGCCTTAACCGTGTTTGAAATACTAGAAGATCAGGTCTGAGGATTCAGAAAAGATGATGATTCAGTATTTATCTGTTAAAGTCCTACCAAACCACTCAAAGGGATTTTTCCAGTTGTTTACACCCTTCTGCAACAGTATCTATTTCTTTTTTCCAAATAATATGAATAGATTTCACATTTCAAAAGGTGGAAAAATATAGCCTCAGTAGCTAGTTATAGATGGTTGGAAATTATCCCTATCTGAATGATGGAATAATTATGTTTTTTAAAAGATAACGATCCTACTGTTCATTCTAAAATAAGAAAACTTGTTCTTAAACATAAATATCTTCACTGTCTTAGTGAGCACAGTCATCCAGCTTTCAGATCAGTACACTATTGAGCCAAACAGGTTTTTAAAACAAGCTCTCATATACTGTGAGCAGGGTAAGTAAGAGAAGAGAGTGAAAGAGACAAGCAAAGACAGAGACAGAGAAACAGAAGCTAATGACTGATTATAGCTGTTCTCTAGGTTGCTACATCTTTTGCCAGAATAATCATTATCTTGTTCTGATTTGGGGTATATTTTAATTGAACTATTCATAGTATGCATAAAAGATCAAATCTCTGGATTTCCTTTGATGTACATAGTAAATCACTGACCTGATTCCATGTTTTATGTACCTCATAAAACTACCACAGCTACTATGCCCTTTCCTAATTCCTGAGGCATGTACCAGTGATGCAATCATCAGTGAATCATGTACATTGATGATTGCATATCATGGAATACTAGCAAAAAAAAGAATTTAAATGGATTGCCCGCCATCCAAGGGGGGCATGAACATGCCCAAATCGCATGGGACCTCAGGATTTTTAAATGGCCTAAAGGCCATATCTGCTGAAGCAGGGTAGGCCATCAACCTGGTACTGTAAAATTATGAGCTTTCCTCGTCTGGCTACATTAATTTCCATCTCTTTGTCATTTTGATTTCTAGGAGATGTTTAGTCAAATGGAAAAAGAAAATTAGAGTGTGTGGGGTGGGTGGATAAAGCTGTGGTCCATGAGTCCTAGCTTAGGGAGAAAGTTTTTTCTCTCTCATTGTACATTTTAGTTCAATTTAATCTGAAAATATCAATGCTACCCAAATGCTAATCTTATCTGGAAAAGAGAGTAGAGAAAAGAAACAGAAGGTTTAGGGCAACTAGTTCCTTTCTACGAAACAGAACAGAGCTTAAAAAGCCTAGTAGATAGCTTTCATTGCGGATTGCAAATTTAGAGTGATCACCTTTGTGTACCTTAGTGCTCAAACTACTCCCTGTGCCTCAAACATTTCCCTTTTTTTTTTTTTTTTTCACCTTCCAAAGTGTAAACCATAAAAGGCAGCCTGACTAGTGCTACACAGGAGATAGCATAGGAGTGTGAATTAGATACAATTCCAGATATTCAACTTTTCCAGCCTAAAAAAATTATATCTCAATACCTTTCCCTATCTTGAAAGCAGTATCTATTTGCTTATACCTGTAGGAGTGATCAGTAAAAAGAGAGTCAATTTTTTTCTGGGCAGAGTGGGAACAGAAGACTCCCCACTGTCCGTTATACGTATTCTGTCTTTTCATCTTTCTATCTGGAGCTTTTAAGGTGTGTGTGTGTGTATAATAAAGCTTCAAAAATTAATACATTTGAAATATACCACACATCCTAATTTATGGCACAGTTTATTCCTATTATCCCAACATTATTATAATAGCACTAATTTTACACTTTAAAAAGTCTTTATTTTATAATAAGTCATATGCTCACACTAGTTACAGCCCTAATCAAACAACCTTGAGCTAAAATCCTAATCCCATTTCTTACTAGGTGTGTAACCTTGAGGAAGTCTCTTAATTTCTCTGTATGTCTGTCTTCTCGTGCAAAATGGGGGTGATAGCGCAAGTTGAATATCCTTTATCTGAAATCCTTGGGACCAGACTGCTTTAGATTTTAGATTTTTATGGATTTTTGAATATTTACAGAATACATACTGGTTGAGAATCCTTAATCTGAAAATTAAAAATCTGAAATGCTCCACTGAGCATTTCCTTTGAGTACATGTCAGTGTTCAAAAAGTTTTGGATTTGGGGACATTTCAGGTTTTTGATTTTGGATTTGGGATGTTCAACCTGTACGGCCTAACTCATATGGTGCTCCAATGAGTTACTGTATATAATTGAGGATCCAATGAGTTAATTTATATAATTTCAGAACTGTTCCTAACATATAATAAAAACTCAATATATTGTGGTTATTATGAAAGTTGAACAGTCTGACTCTTCTTGCCCTCTAACCTAGACCCACAAAATTTCCAAGAAATCAATTATTTAACAAAATACAGTATACTTAAGTGACTTTAGGTAACAAAGTGTCAATTGCTTTTGTAAGTCATATTTATATGAATAAATAATATTTATATAGTGGTTTTACTTTAATACACACTTTCCTACACATTATCACAATTTTTAATAACAATTCCATTAAGCAGGTATTATTAATATCCTTATTTTTCAGATTAAGACAGTCAGAGAAGTTAAGTCATCCCAATATCACAGACAGAAAATGCCAAAGCCAGAATTTGAACCAAATTCTTCTTACTCTAAACGCCATATTTTGCCACTATCAAATTCTTAATCATTTTGTTTCATTTTCAACTCAAGTTGAATTTTTACCTCAAATAGCTATCATATTTTGACATGTTTACCTTGATTCCATCATGGTATTTTTCATACTTTAATTGCATATTTAATCACTCAATTCTTCTACATAAAAATATTAAATTGCACAAGAGAAAAAACTATGAATTTCATCATTATATTTGGATGTGCAGTGCCCTTCTTAATTTCTGAAACACAAGCAGAATTTCAATAAATGCTTATTAAATTAAATGAAATCAGTTTCACAAGAAATGTCCTGGAAAATATTAGGCAAAAGGAAAATGCTTTCTGTTTGCCCAGTGCCTATATCCCAGCTCCCTGCTAAGTGATAGTTTGAAAAGAGGAGACAAGCCATTCACTTGGCTTAGGCTGAGGTGATAAAGGGGATTCATGGAGAACTTGATTAATTTCTCTGTCCTTTCCTGACATTTCTTCTTGGGCAATTTACTGAGATATGTTGAGACAAACGCTGGTTTTTCCCAAGGAAATCTCCCTCTCTAGAAATCCCAGTCATAATATTAAGACTTCTTAAAATAAGAACAATACAGCCTAGTACGGTGGCTCACACCTATAATCCAAGCACTTTGGGAGGCCCAGGGGGTCGGATCACTTGAGCTCATGAGCTCGAGGCCAGCCTGGGCGACATGGCCAAACCTTGTCTCTACTAAAAAAAAAAAAAAAAAAAAAAAAAAAAAGCCAGGCATGGTGGCACACACCTATTATCCTAGCTACATGGGAGGCTGAGGCACAAGAATCACTTGAACCCAGGAGGCAGAGACGGCAGTGAGCCAAGATTGCACCACTGACTCCAGACTTACAAAAGCAATTGATACTTTGTTACCTAAAGTCACTTAAGTATACTGTAGATATTTTGTTTATTAGTTGCTTTCCTGGATATTTTTTTGTGGGTCTAGGTTAGAGGGCAAGAAGGGTCAGACTCTTCAAATTTCATAATAACTACAATATATTGAGTTTTTACTATATGTTAGGAACTGTTCTGAAATTATATAAATTAATTCATTGGGTGACAGAGTGAGACTGTCAAAAAAAAAAAAAAAAAAAAGAACAATATTAAGTACTTACTTTCTAGATCCATAAAGATTTCCATAGGCATTAGAGTCATCACCACTGTGCTCCTGGTTATCAATAGTAAAATTAGATTGGTAAAAATCAGAGTCAAATTGTGCCAAGTTTGACATCCTGAAAAATAAGAATATGTTTTTAATAAGTTCATGAGTCAATAAAACTTAGTTTGAGATATTTACAAAGCTCAACTGACAATGTGGTTATGGCTGGATTCCTATCAGAAAACAAGATGTCCTTTGAATGGGGTCAATAAGGTATTGGGGGAAGGGTATAGAAATATATGCTAGAAAGTTATTTACAAAATGTGTTATCTTCAACTACTTTGTCTGAAGTTTTCACACCCTGGACTGTGGCTTTTAATATGTTGACTTTAATTGATCTGAAAGAACTAATTTTCTCCAAATATCTTATTCTTAGCAATTTAAGAGAAAAAGCTTAAAACTCAGGACACATCTAGAAGGATTTCCCTAAAATGATGTGTTTTTCACTTTAAGCGTGCGCGCGCGCGCACACACACACGTAGAAAGGATTATTATCTGCAAATGGCTGATAATAATAATACTCCTTCCCAAAGCAAAACCAAAACCCTACAAACCTATTTCCTTGTTCTACTTGGCAATTCTTAAAAAGTGTTTGGATTATTTTCCTTTTTCTTTTGCTCTGGACACTGCACCTGGGCTTCTGGCTGAGTCAGAAAGAAAAAGATTCAATCCTGCTAAGGAGTCTTTTCTATACACTCTCTCTATAGTTTCCACTCACTTCTGGGAGTAAAGAGGAGTGATTGTTTTTGAATTTAGACCTAATGGCCAGGAATACAAGAGGGAAAAATAAAGAACTGAGAGAAGGAAGAGGTATAGGAGAAGAGGACCTAAGAGAGGTAATAGTGGCTCTTTGGATAAAAAGTAGAGAATAGAGAAGAGACTCTTTTCAACTGGACAAATGTGGTTATTCAACTCAACATTTAATTCTTTATTTTTCTTTGAAAATCTTCTTATTTTAAAAAAGTGGATTTAAAAATCACCAGGAGTAATCCATATACTTATAATAATATGTGGAATACTACTTATAAGAAATCTCAAATGAAATTGCATAAACAGCCTCAACTCTAAGGGTATCATTAATCAGAAATATTCAAGTAACAATTGTTAAATATATTAAATTTGTTCAGTTCAATAAAAACACAAAAAGCTTCTCTAGAATTAGATGCAGCGATTCATACATCTGATGCAATAAATCAAGGTTTTACATTAGTAATATGTATAAAAGTAGCTATGAATTATTTAAACTAAAATCAGGACTTCGTGATAAATCTTTTAACAACTTATAAGTTAAAGAACTTAAAATGTAATAGCATAACTTTCTCAACACATGAAAATACGTTATTATAAAGCAAAGAGAGTAATTGAGAATACACTAAATTTTCATAACATGCAAAGCTTTATGTAATATGACTATTGGTACTACAGTACTTACTTAACTGAGCTTTGTATTTTGTTGAAATGCCAAGTCTTTTAGAAGGATCAGTCACATACCTCTTATTTATTTTTTATGGAAAGATCTTCCAGTAAAAGTAGCTTTGCGTGAGAAATTTAAAGCAAATCCTTTGGTGAAAAGATGACATGCTGGCTATATATACACCTTTCTAAATTTGTACTCTGACATCCTGAGCAGATGCTATCGCCAAAAATAAAAAAGCCTGCCAAAAGCCAAATACAGTATCTTATAACACTTATTGTGGTTTACAAACACAGTGAACAGTGTACAGACATATAATTTGATAATATGGAAATTGTGGAATGATAGATACAGTTTCCTTGTGTACATGTCTATTAAACTCTGCGGTAAGATCATTTATTTGAGGCAAGCAGTTAAAAAGAGGCCTCAATGTCCCTTCCGTTTCATGGATTTCCTAATAATATGCAGTAAAAATCAAAATATGGCACATGATCTTATCATGAAGATCTCAGCACCAAAATGAAAATGAGTTGTGGTCAATTTTATCTAAATCAGAGCTGTTCTGTTTATATGCGCAATATTTATGAAAACTAATTATGGTCTACCTCTGACTTTTTTCCTGCTTCCTACTTTTCCAGCAGAGGCCAAGATGGATATGCTAATGGTATCTAATGCTTCTTACTTGACGGACAGGTTCTGTACATTTTTGAGCCAATTCTAACCACTGGAAGGTGTTAGGCCCATCCCCACCCCAGGAAGCTCCCTGAGTTGGCCCTTTTCTGTATCACTGGGTCACTGCTGGGAGCCTACTCTCTGGTTCTGACCCAGTTAACCTGGCTAATACTATCAATTCTATCTAGATCTGGTGTTCTCATCCCTAATATTAATCACATGGTTGGAAGTCAAGTTCCCCTGTGGTTTGCTTCATGCTGATTCTCTTTTTTAGGACTTAAAACTTCCCATGCATCCAAGTCTCAGTAACTGAAATTTTATGTCCAAAGGCAGATAATTTGGCACTTAGGAATCTTCAACTGGAGCCAATGGCAGAAAGCTGAAGTAATTTCTTTCCACATTGTTTAAAAGCATTTGGAATTTGAATGTCTGTAATCACAGCTGCCCTTCCTACATTACTAGTCAGGCAACAATTGTTCACACATTTATCAAGGGAGTACTGTTGAGTTCCAGACTCTGTTCTAGATACCAGGTTTCAGAAACAGGCAAACTAAGTTACATCTTAGTACTGATTTTGCTACACCTACACCTAATAATAATGATTAACTGGGCATTGTTCTACAGACTTTAAGTCATTTAATTTTTGTAACAACCTGATAAGGTACTATTATCCCATTTTACAGAAAAAGAAATGGAGATTGAATAATTTTCCCAAGGCCATTAGCTAGTAGCTGAAAAAGTCAATGTTTGAAACCTAACTGAATTCAGAACTCACATTATCCAAGATAATTTCAGGAATTAAACAATAGAATATGCTATTAAGATGGAGCGTGCAAAGGGCAGAGGATTTGAATACTCAGGGAAGGCTTCTTAAGAGGGTCATTCGGATAGAGATCTGACGGATGATAATGAAGAAGTCACTTTAAAGACTACATGAAGAACATTTCAGGCAAAGACTTTCAGCTGGCAAGGAGTTTTGTGGTTTCTGGTTTAGAAAAAAGAAAGCCAGTATTTCTAGGGATTTTTGAATTAGAGAAAAGTTGAAGGAGATGAGGTCAGAGGTATGAACAGAGGCCAGATCAAAAAGGAGCCTGTAGGCCATGGTAAAGAACCTGAAGGTTACTATAATTGAAATGAAATGTCATTCTAGGGTTGTATAAAATGTGATGATATCCTTATTACTCACAAGTGGAAGAGGGAGACTGGTTAGGAAGAGAATGTTACAATAACACAGGCATGAGATGTGAGTGGCCTGAACTAGGGTTGCAGTGGAAGGAGAACTGGTACAAAAGTCATGGCAACTGAGGAAAAGATGAACTACAGGGGTCAATACTGAAGCAGTAATATCAGTAAAAAGAAAATTCAGTGCAGGAAAATGATGATGAGTTATATAAACTGAGGAAGGTCCAATGTATAGGTAGAGTACAGAACAAATACAGAAGATATTTGGAAAGACTTAATAGGATTCAACTTCTATTGAAAGGAGGAAGAAAGAAAAAGCAATTATTGAGGATGATTTCTAGAATTCTGTCAATTTTTCCATTCTAATGCATAATGCCATAGGAAAAGGCTACATTGTTATATAGTGGCCAAATTTTGATTATCATCTTTTCTATTCCTTCTTTCAAAGTTCTTTACCTGAGAACATAGGTCCCTTACGAAAACAGCAGAGATTTACAGTACATTCTTTTTTTTTTTTTTTTGACATGTAAATTCCATGAAAAGCCTACCAAAGGTAATATTTTTTATCTTAGTCCATTTAGATACATTTTAAACTTATTTCGTGATGTTGTACTTTTCAACAGTTTCCTTCATAAAAACCTGGCTCGATTAAATGAATTGTAGAAATATATGGACTGAAAATGGCATATAAAAAAATTTATCTCAGCCTCAAGTGAATTATAAAACATGAAACATTGAAGACAAAATGACTTCAGTCTCTTTAGAAGTGCATTAATGGACCATTAATGCATACACAAGAATATTTTAAAGCTATTCTTATAGATATAACACTGAGTATCTATAAAATACACATTTAAGTGAGTTTTTTTCCATTAATGAATTATCTGATTGCTATAGCACATGTTGAAGAACAGAGTGTAGATTGATATTACATATAGTCACAGTGTCATCAATTATTTTAACTCATCTGTTTCAGTAATTGTTTCTGTGTCCTGCATGACCAAAAAGATTGTATTATGTGAATAATGTTTCTCACCTGATGTAAAAAAAGCCCCATGTTCTACTCATAACCACTTTCTTTTCCTTCCTTCTCATTTTCTTTTCTCTCCCTGCTCTCTCCTTACCTCCATCCTTTCCTTCCCTCCCTCAGTTCTCTCTCAGAACTCTCTCCTAAGCTGATGCTATCTATTCCCAGGGCTTTATATATTAGCTGTATATAGACAGTTCCCAAAGTTACATATGCATCCTTGACCTTTCTTCTCAGCATCAGACTACTTGATAGACATTTCAAACTTAACATAATCCAAACTGGATTCTTAAAGTCTCTACCCTTCCCAATCCAACACTGTCTTCTCTATTTCAAGAAATGACATCACAAAGCACCCACTCAAATCAGAAATCATCTAACTTCTGATGAATCATCTAATTTTCAACAAATTATATCGATTCTGTCTCTTAAATATATTTCTCACTAACTAATTTCCTCCATCTCCTTTGCTACCAGCCTGGTTGAAGTCACCATTTTCTCCCACTTACAATTCTCTTTGTAATTATTTAAAAAGTGAAATATCACTTTTATAGTAGCAAATTGGTAGGAGACAACAAAGTTCACTTAAAAAGACTGTAAAAATACACCTTTAACGACTTGCCAAAATCAGGAAAGATTCTTCTATGGTTGCTAACTGCAATTAGCAGTAGGAATCAATAAGAATTTCCATCCATAGTTTCTCAGCCTCTTTCTGGTGATCTGTCACGTGTTGCAGAGGCTGTGAGTTGCTCAACAGATATACCGACAACAATTTGCCATATACCTGACAGTTATGCATGCATATCTGTGTTAAGTTAAATAATGAATGATTTGATGTATGGATGAATGATCAGTATTATTAATACTGCATACTCAGAATCCCATATTTTAGTTGATGTCTATCCATCTAAGTATAATGCAAAATTGCGACATTCATCACTGCAGTACTCTGATATAAAAATGGAGGCTCAGAGAAGCAAAGTGATTTGTGCGAAGTCACACACCTAGGATGTGAAAGAACCTAGTCTGAAGCATCAGTTCTCTCACTCGCCCAGTTTTCTTTGATTACTCTGTTTCTCCAAAAATATTATGTATGGCTGCCCAGAACTCTCATGTTATGAATGTACCTATTTAGGAACACTAAATGATGTTTATTTATATCCTTCTACCCCAAATATTTTCAGCTGAATAGAGCTGCCAATAAACCAAAAGAAAAATATGTCATCATTTTCTATCTCTGCTGACAGAGAAACAGGTTGTTAGTTACCAGTGTTTATCATATAATTACTTTATTATGGCAATCTGTATTGCAATTTAATGCACATCTGCATTAATTCAGAGAAGAATACAATGCATTCTATTTTCCATTATTTATTTTTAATGCATTTTTATCAGTGTTCTCTAAATGCTCTTTTTGTTAGTACCACGTAAGATTTGTTCCTGATCATCTGCCTTTTAAAGACTGTGCTGCTTCTATTTTATAAGCCTGAAACTACAGCCCTGAATATTACAGAAACACATGAAAATAGGCATAAAATTCTGTTGCACTGCATGAATTTTAAAGAGCTCAATATGTTCTATAGCAAGCAAAGAAGAGAAAATTAAATGATTTTGCTTCATTAATACTATCATAATTATCTTTGACTTTCAATTTGGTTATTTCTTCTTAATTTCCACTTTTTTCCCCTAAAGACTTTATTTGTCTTTATGGAAAACACTGCATTCTAGCAGACTTATTGCTGAACTCTTATTAAGTTTTTAGTTTGGCAATATGTTTTGTTAGCAAAAATATAATTTACACCTGAGATTATGAAAGTTGATATGAGCAGAAGTTGAGTTGTACATTCTTAGTAACCATATTATAATAATAGTCATTTAAATACATAATAAGAAGTCAAATTTACATCCATTTAGCAAATTTATGTAATTAATTTTCATAGGAAGTCTTTCCCATATACATTCTTCCACAAGTTATCTAACCACATAGATTCTTAGTTCCTTCATCAGTAAAAAGGAATAAAACTTATTCTTACCTCTTAGGTATTGTTTATTTCATCTTTATCTCATCCACTTAATTCTATTTTTCCATGTTTCACAATATATCAAGATTATTAATTAATGAATATATAACTTTTATGTGTGTATATAAACTTCAGTACAAAATATGAGGATTAGACATAATTTTGCAAAAGGAACAATTGAGTACGGTAGCTGGCAAGTAGTGAATTGTCAATAAATGTGACCTGTTATGATTATATTTCTAGGTGATTATGAAACTGGATCAACAGCAAGCACTCACATTTACTCTTGTGTTCATTATTTACAATCTTTCAACACATAGTTTTTTCTACTTTTATATAACATAAATCTGAATAGTTATTTTACCAAAAGAAGATAGGAGGTTGGACAATTGCAAATGTTCTCTCTCATAGAGAGACTTCAATTAGAGAGTCAACATTTCCTTAGCATTCATGTCTCATTTTACAATTAAAAAAAACCATTTCTAATAAGAAAAGAAAAAATTGACTTTATTGTCCAAGTATTACTTACTATTTTGACTAAAATCCTTTAGGTACTGCTCAGTAAGGACATATGTTTATGTTGACCATATTTCCTTTAGCAAAGAAAGGTGAAATTCTTCACAATGTTCTGTCGTAATTATGTTTTTTATGACAACATTGCTATTTCATGGCCTATGCAATTGCACCATTATTAAGATTTTTGTCAAAGTATTCCAAGTTTTTTGTGAACACTTTATTATGATCAGCAGGTGAGAGTTGTTAAGATAGTTTGAGAAAAATGACCAGATATAGTATGTTTTTAATGTAATTGTCAATATACAAATTCTACTTCATAAAGAGTATCTCTACCTTCTTTCGACAGTAGAAACTAATGGCTCACAGCTTAGAATTTTAACTTAATTTGAACATTTACTCAAACATTGCCTCTATATAGGGAGTTCTTTAAAGGACAACTCTCTGCCTTGCAGTATTTATGTTTCATACACAAACCTGAGCTAGGGAAAGTAGCATATAGCATGAAAAATAATGTTTTAAATACAATTGAATCTTCTTTTTAAAAAATTTATAGTTGACTCTCTGGTTTAAAGTGTCACTAGGCCAGAAAGTTGTCTCACAATCCCAGCAAAATGACATATGAAGGTTTATAAAAGGATAAACATACCACAATGTGAAAAACTAATGCTTGGAGTCAACCTCTTGCCAGAGCCTGGGTAAAATTTCTGTGTTAAGGTTGATGAGCATGTAGTGAAAAAAAAAAAAAAAATGATTTTAGACCATCGCAGTCTTCCTATCATGCACCAGGACAGCTCATTGATATGAAAGGAAGAAGATTCCTGAGACCCTCAGAGATTCAGGCTTTGTAATAAATAGAAAAGCAGCCATCCCCCTACTGTAATGACGCTGCTTTTCTAAGTGCCAGAGAAATAATCCTGCTACCTGGTCTTATGGTCTGATATATATTTGGGGAAAGTCACTCCTGGGAGAAGGGAGGACCACTCTCAGGATATATGGTGAAAGGAAGTTGCGGCTTAGTGGGATTGGGGTGGAAGTTCTCATTAATTGTTATGAACTGGCTGGGTGCGGTGGCTCACACCTGTAATCCTAGCACTTTGAGAGGCTGAGGTGGGAGGATGACTTGAGCCCAGGAGTTTGAGACTAGTCTGGGCAATATAGTGAGACCCATCTTTATAAATAAATAAATAAATAAATACAATGTTTAAAAAGTGTTATAGACTGAATGTTTATGTCCTTCCCCGACCCCCTGCCAAATCCATATGTTGAAATCTAAACCCAATGTGATGGTATCTGGAGGTGGAGTCTTTGGGAGGTTACTAAGTCATGAGGATGGAGCCCTCATGAATGAGATTAGTAATCTTATAAGAAGAGGCCAGAGAGCTAGCTCTGTTTCTTTCCAATATGTGAGGATAAAATAAGAACTCAGCAGTCTGCAACCCGGAAGACAGCTCGCATCAGAATTCCACTATGTTGGCACCCTGATCTCAGCTTGCAGCCTCCAGAACTAAGAAAAATAAATTTCCACTGTTGACAAGCCACCCTATGTCACTTTTTTATAGAAGCCTGAATAGACTAAGACACTAATAATGCTTCTATGCATCCTGGGAACTATAGTCTTCCCACTACCTTGTTGTTACAAGATCAGAGACAAGAAGCACCCAATGACAATACATACTAGGGGAATGAAGCTTTTCATGTATCACACTACTTTCACTCAAAATTCTGATGTGAAACTGTGCAAGACGATCCAATGGAGAGAGAAAACAATAGTAGACTATTTGTGTTAGCAGCTTTCATGCTGCTGATAAAGGCATACCCGAGACTGGGTAATTTATAAAGAAAAATCATGGTGGAAGGTGAGAGGCACATTTTATATGGCAGCAGATAGGAGAATAAGAATCAAACAAAAGGGGAACCCCTTATAAAACC